GGGGGTCTGGGGGCTGGGGCTTTGGGGACCACCCATGGTCGTTTATGGGGGACCACCCATGGTCATTGATGGGGTCTCTGACCCCATCTACTACTTCAAGATCGCCGTGGCCCTGGCCGTGGCCGCCATCCCTGAAGGTATTGGGGGTCTGGAGGTCTGGGGGTCTGGGGGCTTTGGGGACCACCCATGGTCATTTATGGGGCTTGGGGACCACCCATGGTCATTGATGGGGGCTCTGACCCCCATCTACTACTTCAAGATCGCCGTGGCCCTGGCCGTGGCTGCCATCCCTGAAGGTCTGTGGGGTCTGGGGAGGTCTGGGGTTTGGGGGCTTTGGGACATTGGGGGCTTTGGGGACCACCCATGGTCATTTATGGGGTCCAGAAGGTCATTCGTGGTCACCTCTGGGGCTTTGGGGACCACCTGAGGTCATTTATGGACCATCCAAGGTCATTTATGGGGTCTTGGGGACCGTCCATGGTCATTTATGGACCGTCCGTGGTCACTTTTGGGGTCCAGGAGGTCATTTGTGGCCACCCCATGGCCCTGTTGGGACTGGTGGCCACCCCATGGTGGTCCGGTGGCCACCCCAGAGGTCTGGTGGCCACCCCGTGGCTCTGTTGGGCCTGGTGGCCACCCAGGTGGTCTGGTGGCCACCCCAGAGATCTGGTGGCCACCCCATGGCTCTGTTGGGTCTGGTGGCCACCCCAGAGATCTGGTGGCCACCCTGGTCAGGTCACCGGTGGCTGATCACCCATGGGTCAGTTGGGTCCACTGATCACCCCGTGGCTCTGTTGGGCCCGGTGGCCACCCAGGTGGTCCGGTGGCCGCCCCGGTGAGCCCGAGGTGTCCCCCCAAAAAGGCCTCCCCGCGGTGATCACGACGTGCCTGGCGCTGGGCACGCGCAGGATGGCCAAGAAGAACGCGATCGTCAGGAGCCTCCCCTCGGTGGAGACCCTGGGCTGCACCTCGGTCATCTGCTCCGACAAGACCGGCACCCTCACCACCAACCAGATGTCTGTCTGCAAGGTGGGACCCAAAACTGCCCAAAATAACCCAAAATACCCCAAAAACTGCCCCAAAATACCCCAAAATACCCCAAAAACTGCCCCAAAACACCCCCAGGCACCCTCACCACCAACCAGATGTCTGTCTGCAAGGTGGGACCCCAAACTGCCCCAAAATACCCCAAAATACCTCAAAACCACCCTAAAATACCCCAAAAATACCCCAAAATACTGCCCTAAAATACCCCCAGGCACCCTCACCACCAACCAGATGTCTGTGTGTAAGGTGGGACCCAAAACTGCCCCAAAATAACCCAAAACCACCCTAAAATACCCCAAAAACTGCCCCAAAACACCCCCAGGCACCCTCACCACCAACCAGATGTCTGTCTGCAAGGTGGGACCCCAAAATACCTCAAAAACACCCCAAAATACCCCAAAATACCCCAAAAACTGCCCCAAAACACCCCCAGGGCTCCAAAAATTCCTCCAGGGACCCCAAACCCCCTGTGACCCCAAATCCCCCCTGCGACCCCAAATCCCCCCTGTGACCCCAAAATCCCCCCAGTGACCCCAAACCTTTCCTGTGACCCCAAGTTCCCCCCCAGTGACCCCAAATTTCCCTCCCCCCAGATGTTCATCCTGGACAAGGTGGACGGCGACGTTTGCTCCCTCAGCGAGTTCTCCATCACCGGCTCCACCTACGCCCCCGAGGGAGAAGTGTGAGTGGGGGGACCCCAAAATCACACCCAAAATCACACCCAGGACCCCTAAAAACACCCGGGGGGACCCCAAAATCACACCCAGGACCCCAAAACCCCACCCAGGACCCCCAGAATCCCACCCAGGACCCCCAAATCCCCTCCACCTACGCCCCCGAGGGCGAAGTGTGAGTGGGGGGACCCCGAAATCCCACACAAAATCCCACCCAGGACCCCCCAAATCCCCTCCACCTACGCCCCCGAGGGCGAAGTGTGAGTGGGGGGACCCCAAAATCACACCCAGGACCCCAAAAAATCCCACCTAGGACCCCAAAAACACCCGGGACCCTAAAAACACCCAGGGGGAACCCAAAATCCCACCCAGGACCCCAAAATCCCACCCAAAACCCCACCCAGGACCTTCCAAATCTCCTCCACCTACGCCCCCGAGGGGGAAGTGTGAGTGGGGGGACCCCAAAATCACACCCAAAATCACACCCAGGACCCCAAAAACACCCAGGGGGAACCCCAAAAACCCCACCCAGGACCCCCCAAATCCCCTCCACCCACGCCCCTGAGGGGGAAGTGTGAGTGGGGGGACCCCAAAACCAACCAGGGGGGACCCAAAAAAATCACCCCAATGTCCCTGAGTGTCCCCAATGATGTCCCCAATGTCCCCCAATGTCCCCAAATGTCCCCAATGATGTCCCCAATGTCCCTGAGTGTCCCTGAGTGTCCCCAATGATGTCCCCAATGTCCCCAATGTCCCTGAGTGTCCCCAATGTCCCCAATGATGTCCCTGAGTGTCCCTGAGTGTCCCCAATGATGTCCCCAATGTCCCCAATGTCCCTGAGTGTCCCCAATCCCCAAATGTCCCCAAATGTCCCTGAGTGTCCCCAATGATGTCCCCAATGTCCCCAATGTCCCTGAGTGCCCCCAATGTCCCCAATGTGTGTCCAATGTCCTAAGTGTCCCAATGTCCCCAGTAATCCACATGTGATGTCCCAAGTGTCCCAATTGTATTCTAATGTCTACAATGTGCTCTGAGTGTCCAATGTCCCCTGATGTCCTGAGTGATCACAGTATGCCCAATGTCCCCAGGCTGAAGCAGGACCGGCCGGTCAAGGCTGGCCAGTACGATGGACTGGTGGAACTGGCCCCAATGTCCCCAATGTCCCTGAGTGTCCCCAATGTCCCAATGTCCCCAGGCTGAAGCAGGACCGGCCGGTCAAGGCTGGCCAGTACGATGGACTGGTGGAACTGGCCCCAGTGTCCCCAATGTCCCTGAGTGTCCCCAATGTCCCCAATGATGTCCCCAATGTCCCCAATGTCCCCAATGATGTGCAATGTCCCAGTAATGATGTCCCCAATGTCCCCAATGTCCCCAATGTCCTGAGTGTCCCCAAATGTCCCCAGGCTGAAGCAGGACCGGCCGGTCAAGGCTGGCCAGTACGATGGACTGGTGGAACTGGCCACCATCTGCGCCCTCTGCAACGACTCCTCCCTGGACTACAACGAGGTGACACCTCTCCCCCCCATCCCTGACTGTCCCCAGCGTCCCCAAATGTCCCCAAATGTCCCCAAATGTCCCCAGAGTGACCCCCCCCCCCGGTGTCCCCGCAGGCCAAGGGGGTCTACGAGAAGGTGGGGGAGGCGACGGAGACGGCGCTGACGTGCCTGGTGGAGAAGATGAACGTCTTCAACACCGACGTCAGGGGGCTCTCCAAGGTGGAGAGGGCCAATGCCTGCAATGCTGTGAGTGTCACCTGTGTCACCTGAGTGTCATTGTCACCTGTGTCACCCCTGAGTCACCTGTGTCACCCCTGTCCCCTCAGTGTCACCCCTGTGTCACCCCCTGTCCCCATGTCCCGGTGTCTTCAACACCGACGTCAGGGGGCTCTCCAAGGTGGAGAGGGCCAATGCCTGCAATGCTGTGAGTGTCACTGTCACCTGTGTGTCACCTGTGTCACCCCTGAGTGACCTGTGTCACCTGTGTCACCCCCTGGTCATTGATCACCCCTGGTCATTGATCACCCCCTGTCCCCCTGTCCCAGTGTCTTCAACACCGACGTCAGGGGGCTCTCCAAGGTGGAGAGGGCCAATGCCTGCAATGCTGTGAGTGTCACCTGAGTGTCATTGTCACCTGTGTCACACCTGTGTCACCTGTGTCACCCCTGTCCCCTCAGTGTCACCCCTGTGTCACCCCCTGTCCTCCTGTCCCCATGTCCCGGTGTCTTCAACACCGATGCCAGGGGGCTCTCCAAGGTGGAGAGGGCCAATGCCTGCAATGCTGTGAGTGTCACCTGAGTGTCATTGTCACCTGTGTGTCACCTGTGTCACCCCTGTCCCCTCAGTGTCACCCCCTGGTCATTGATCACCCCCTGTCCCGGTGTCTCCAACACCGACGTCAGGGGGCTCTCCAAGGTGGAGAGGGCCAATGCCTGCAATGCTGTGAGTGCCACCTGAGTCACCTGTGTCACCTGTGTCACCTGTGTCACCCCTGTCCCCTCAGTGTCACCCCCTGGTCATTGATCACCCCCCCGTCCCGGTGTCTTCAACACCGACGTCAGGGGGCTCTCCAAGGTGGAGAGGGCCAATGCCTGCAATGCTGTGAGTGTCACTGTGTCACCTGTGTCACCTGTGTCACCTCAGTGTCACCTGAGTCACCCCTGTCACCCCTGTCCCCTCAGTGTCACCCCCTGGTCATTGATCACCCCCTGGTCATTGATCACCCCTGGTCATTGATCACCCCCTGTCCCGGTGTCTTCAACACCGACGTCAGGGGGCTCTCCAAGGTGGAGAGGGCCAATGCCTGCAATGCTGTGAGTGCCACCTGAGTGTCACCTGTGTCACCCCTGAGTCACCCCTGGTCATTGATCACCCCCTGGTCATTGATCACCCCCCCGTCCCGGTGTCTTCAACACCGACGTCAGGGGGCTCTCCAAGGTGGAGAGGGCCAATGCCTGCAATGCTGTGAGTGCCACCTGAGTCACCTGTGTCACCCCTGAGTCACCTGTGTCACCCCTGTGTCACCCCCTGTCCCCATGTCCCGGTGTCTTCAACACTGACGTCAGGGGGCTCTCCAAGGTGGAGAGGGCCAATGCCTGCAATGCTGTGAGTGCCACCTGTGTCACCTGTGTCACCTGGGTCACCTGGGTCACCCCTGAGTCACCCCTGGTCATTGATCACCCCTGGTCATTGATCACCCCATGTCCCGGTGTCTTCAACACCGACGTCAGGGGGCTCTCCAAGGTGGAGAGGGCCAATGCCTGCAATGCTGTGAGTGTCACCTGTGTGTCATTGTCACCTGTGTCACCTCTGTGTCACCTGGGTCACCTGAGTGTCCCCAATGTCCCCTGTGGTGTCCCCAATGATGTCCCCAATAATGTCCCCAATGATGTCCCCTGTGGTGTCCCCCCAGGTGATCAAGCAGCTGATGAAGAAGGAGTTCACCCTGTGTGCCCTCAGTGTCCCAGTGTCCTCCTAAGTGTCCCCAATGTCCCTAGTGTCCCCAATGTCCCCAATGATGATCGCACTGAGGATGTCCCCAATGTCCCCAATGTCCCCAATGTCCCCAATGAGTGTCCCCAATGTCCCCCCTGTGGTCCCCAGGTGATCAAGCAGCTGATGAAGAAGGAGCTCACCCTGTGTGCCCTCAGTGTCCCCAATGATGTCCCCAATGTCCCCTGAGTGTCCCCAATGTCCCCTCTGATGTCCCCAATGTCCCCAGTGAGTGTCACCAATGATGTCACCTGATGTCCCAATGTCCCTAGAGTGTCGCCCAATGATGTCCCTCAGTGTCCCCAATGTCCCCAATGATGTCCCCAATGATGTCCCCAATGTCCCCTGAGTGTCCCCAATGTCCCCAATGTCCCCAAGGGTGTCCCCAATGTCCCCAGTGATGTCCCCAATGTCCCCCCTGTCCCCCCAGGTGATCAAGCAGCTGATGAAGAAGGAGTTCACCCTGTGATCCCTCAGTGTCCCCAATGATGTCCCTGAGTGTCCCAATGATGTCCCCAATGTCCCCTGGGTGTCCCCAGGTGATCAAGCAACTGATGTAGCAAGGAGTGTCACCCAATGATGTCCCCAATGTCCCCAGTGTCCCTAATGTCCCCAATGTCCCCTGAGTGTCCCCAATGTCCCCTGGGTGTCCCCAATGTCCCCTGTGTCCCCCCAGGTGACCAAGCAGCTGACGAAGAAGGAGTTCACCCTGTGTGCCCTCAGTGTCCCCAATGATGTCCCCTGAGTGTCCCCAATGTCCCCAATGTCCCCTGGGTGTCCCCAATGTCCCCAATGATGTCCCCAATGTCCCCTGAGTGTCCCCAATGTCCCCAATGTCCCCAATGTCCCCCAGGTGATCAAGCAGCTGATGAAGAAGGAGTTCACCCTGGGTGTCCCCAATGTCCCCAATGTCCCCAATGTCCCCAATGTCCCCCCAGGTGATCAAGCAGCTGATGAAGAAGGAGTTCACCCTGTGTGCCCTCAGTGTCCCCAATGTCCCCAATGTCCCCAATGATGTCCCCAATGTCCCCCCTGTGTCCCCAGGTGATCAAGCAGCTGATGAAGAAGGAGTTCACCCTGGGTGTCCCCAATGTCCCCTGAGTGTCCCCAATGTCCCCAATGATGTCCCCAATGATGTCCCCAATGTCCCCTGTGTGTCCCCAATGTCCCCAATGATGTCCCCAATGTCCCCCCAGGTGATCAAGCAGCTGATGAAGAAGGAGTTCACCCTGTGTGCCCTCAGTGTCCCCAATGTCCCCAATGTCCCCAATGATGTCCCCAATGTCCCCAATGTCCCCAATGTCCCCAATGTCCCCAATGATGTCCCCTGAGTGTCCCCCCTGTCCCCCCAGGTGATCAAGCAGCTGATGAAGAAGGAGTTCACCCTGTGTGCCCTCAGTGTCCCCAGTGATGATGTCCCCTGAGTGTCCCTAATGTCCCCAATGTCCCCTGAGTGTCCCCTGTCCCCCAGGTGATCAAGCAGCTGATGAAGAAGGAGCTCACCCTGTGTGCCCTCAGTGTCCCCAATGTCCCCTGGGTGTCCCCAATGTCCCCAATGTCCCCTGAGTGTCCCCAATGATGTCCCCAATGTCCCCAATGGTGTCCCCAATGTCCCCTGAGTGTCCCCAATGTCCCCAATGTCCCCAATGATGTCCCCAATGTCCCCTGTCCCCCCAGGTGATCAAGCAGCTGACGAAGAAGGAGTTCACCCTGTGTGCCCTCAGTGTCCCCAATGATGTCCCCAATGTCCCCAATGTCCCCAATGATGTCCCCAATGTCCCCAATGTCCCCTGGGTGTCCCCAATGTCCCCAATGATGTCCCCAATGTCCCCAATGATGTCCCCAATGTCCCCTGAGTGTCCCCAATGTCCCCTGAGTGTCCCCAATGTCCCCAATGATGTCCCCAATGATGTCCCCAATGATGTCCCCAGTGATGTCCCCTGTCCCCCCAGGTGATCAAGCAGCTGATGAAGAAGGAGTTCACCCTGGAGTTCTCCCGGGACCGTAAATCCATGTCCGTTTTCTGCTCCCCGGCCAAGGCCTCGAGGGCGGCCGTGGGCAACAAGATGTTCGTCAAGGTGGGCGCCTGGGGGGCACCTGGGGGGCACCTGGGGGGGATCTGGGGCACCTGGGGGTCACCTGTGTCACCTGGGGGGCACCTGAGGGGCACCTGGGGCACCTCAGGTGGTCATCTGGGGGGCACCTGGGGGTCACCTGGGGCACCTCAGGGGGTCACCTGGGTCATCTGGGACCTCAGTGGGACACCTGGGGGGTCCCCAGGAGGGTCCCTGACCCCATCCCAACGTGTTCCACCCCATCCCAACGTGTCCCACCCCCCCAAATCAATGTCCCACCACCCCAATCAGTGACCCACCACCCCAAATCCTCATCCCAACCCCCCAAATCAATGACCCACCCCCAAATACTCATCCCACCCCCTCAAATCCCATTTTTTCCCATTTTCACCCCATTTTCCCCCCCAGGGCGCCCCCGAGGGCGTCATTGATCGCTGTAACTACGTCCGCGTGGGCACCACGCCCCATAAATCCCATTTTTTTCCTATTTTCACCCATTTTTTCCCCTTAGGGAGCCCCTGAGGGTGTCATTGATCGCTGTAATTACGTCCGCGTGGGCACCACGCCCCATAAATCCCATTTTTAACCCCATAAATCCCATTTTTTGCCCCAGGGAGCCCCGGAGGGTGTGATCGATCGCTGTAATTACGTCCGCGTGGGCACCACCCCCCATAAATCCCATTTTTAACCCCATTTTTCCCATTTTTTGCCTCAGGGAGCCCCCGAGGGTGTCATTGACCGCTGTAATTACGTCCGCGTGGGCACCACGCCCCCATAAATCCCATTTTTAACCCCATTTTCACCCATTTTTCCCATTTTTTCCCCCCAGGGAGCCCCCGAGGGTGTGATCGATCGCTGTAATTACGTCCGCGTGGGCACCACCCCCCATAAATCCCATTTTTTCCCTATTTTCACCCATTTTTTCCCATTTTTTCCCCCCAGGGAGCCCCCGAGGGTGTGATCGATCGCTGTAATTACGTCCGCGTGGGCACCACCCCCCATAAATCCCATTTTTAACCCCATTTTTTAAATTTTTTCCCATTTTTTCCCCATTTTTTCCCCCCAGGGAGCCCCCGAAGGGTGTCATTGATCGCTGTAATTACGTCCGCGTGGGCACCACGCCCCATAAATCCCATTTTTAACCCATTTTTTTGCCTCAGGGAGCCCCCGAGGGTGTCATTGACCGCTGTAACTACGTCCGCGTGGGCACCACGCCCCCATAAATCCCATTTTTTCCCCCCAAATCCCATTTTTTTCCCCCCAAACCCCATTTTTTCCCCCCAGGGCGCCCCCGAGGGGGTGATCGACCGCTGTAACTACGTCCGAGTGGGCACCACCCCCCATAAATCCCATTTTTAACCCCATTTTTTTAATTTTTTCCCATTTTTTCCCATTTTTCCCCCCAGGGCGCCCCGGAGGGGGTGATCGATCGCTGTAACTACGTCCGCGTGGGCACCACCCCCCATAAATCCCATTTTCACCCATTTTTAACCCCATTTTTTTGCCTTAGGGAGCCCCCGAGGGGGTTATTGATCGCTGTAACTACGTCCGCGTGGGCACCACGCCCCATAAATCCCATTTTTTTCCTATTTTCACCCATTTTTTCCCCATTTTTTTGCCTTAGGGAGCCCCCGAGGGGGTGATCGATCGCTGTAATTACGTCCGCGTGGGCACCACCCCCCCAAATCCCATTTTTTCCCCCCATAAATCCCATTTTTAACCCCATAAATCCCATTTTTTTGCCTTAGGGAGCCCCTGAAGGGGTCATTGATCGCTGTAATTACGTCCGCGTGGGCACCACCCCCCATAAATCCCATTTTTTTCCTATTTTCACCCATTTTTTGCCTCAGGGAGCCCCCGAGGGGGTGATCGATCGCTGTAACTACGTCCGCGTGGGCACCACGCGGGTGCCGCTGACGCCGGCGGTGAAGGAGAAGATCCAGGCCGTGATCCGCGAGTGGGGCACGGGGCGGGACACGCTGCGCTGCCTCGCGCTGGCCACGCGGGACACCCCCCCAAAAAGGGAGGAGATGGCGCTCGAGGACTCCGCCAAGTTCGCCGAGTACGAGGTGGGTGGGGCCGGGGGAGGGGTCTAAGGCAATTTTTGGGGGGTTCTGGGATGGTTTTGGGGGGTCTGGGGTCTGTAGGGAGGGGTTAAAGTCAATTTCTGGGGGGTCTGGGGTGTTTTTGGGGGTCTGGGGTCTGCAGGAAGGGTTAAAGTCAATTTTGGGGGTCTGGGGTCTGCTGGGAGGGGTTAAAGTCAATTTTTGGGGGCTCTGGGATGGTTTTGGGGGGTCTGGGGTCTGAGGGGAGGGAGGGTTAAAGTCAATTTTGGGGGTCTGGGGTCTTTTTGGGGGTCTGGGGTCTGCAGGAAGGGGTTAAAGTCAATTTTTGGGGGTCTGGGGTCTGCAGGAAGGGGTTAAAGTCAATTTTTGGGGGGTCTGGGGTCTTTTTTGGGGGGTCTGGGGTCTGCAGGAAGGGGTTAAAGTCAATTGTGGGGAGGTCTGGGGTCTTTTGGGGTGGTCTGGGGTCTGCAGGGAGGGGTTAAAGTCAATTTTTGGGGGGTCTGGGGTCTGCAGGAAGGGGTTAAAAAGTCAATTTTTGGGGGTCTGGGGTCTTTTTGGGGGTCTGGGGTCTGCAGGAAGGGGGAAAGTTGTTTTTTGGGGTTCTTGACCCTCCACGACCACCCAGAACCTTCTCTAGTGGGTTCCCCTCTCCCCCATCCCCCAATTTTTTGGGTTCCTGTCCCTCCCTACTCCATTCTTGAGGTCCCCACCCCCATTTTTTGGGCTCCCCCCTCACCCACCCCCCCATTTTTTGGGTTCCTGTCCCTCCCTGCCCCATTTTTTTGGTTTTTGTCCCTCCCTACCCCATTTTTGGAGTCCCCACTCCCCCATTTTAGGGTCCCCACCCCCATTTTTGGGTTCCTGTCCCTCTCTACCCCATTCTTGGGGTCCCCACCCCAATTTTTGGGTTCCTGTCCCTCCTACCCCATTTTTGGGGTCCCCACCCCCATTTTGGAGTCCCCCACCCATTTTTAGGCTCCCCCTCACCCACCCCCATTTTTTTGGTTTCTTGTCCCTCTCTACCCCATTTTGGGGTCCCCACCCCCCATTTTTAGGGTCCCCACCCCCCATTTTTTTGGTTTCCTGTCCCTCCCTACCCCATTTTTGGGTTCCCACCCCCCCATTTTTTTGGTTTCCTGTCCCTCCCTGCCCCATTCTTGGGGTCCCCACCTCCCCATTTTTTGGGTTCTTGTCCCTCTCTACCCCATTCTTGGGGTCCCCACCCCCTAATTTTTTGGGTTCCTGTCCCTCCCTGCCCCATTTTTGGGGTCCCCACCCCCCATTTTTGGGGTCCCCACCTCCCATTTTTTTGGATTCCTGTCCCTCCCTACCCCATTTTTTTGGTTTCTTGTCCCTCCCTACCCCATTTTTGGGGTCCCCACTCCCATTTTTAGGGTCCCCACCCCCCATTTTTTGGGTTCCTGTCCCTCTCTACCCCATTTCTTTGGGTTCCTGTCCCTCCCAACCCCATTTTTGGGTTCCCCATCCCCAATTTTTGGTCTCCCCCCTCACCCACCCCCCCATTTTTTTGGGTTCTTGTCCCTCCTTCCCCATTCTTGGAGTCCCCACCCCCATTTTTAGGGTCCCACCCCCATTTTTGATCTCCCCCTTACCCACCCCCATTTTTGGGTTCTTGTCCCTCCCTGCCCCATTTTTGGAGTCCCCACCCCCATTTTTGGGTCCCCACCCCCATTTTTTGGGTTCCTGTCCCTGCCTACCCCATTTTGGGGTCCCCATCCCCATTTTTGGGTTCCTGTCCCTCTCTACCCCATTCTTGGGGTCCCCACCCCATTTTAGGGTCCCCACTCCCTTTTGGGGTCCCCACCCCCATTTTTGGCCCCCACCCCCATTTTCGATCTCCCCTCACCCCCCCATTTCCCCCCCCCCAGACGGACCTGACGTTCGTGGGCTGCGTGGGGATGCTGGACCCGCCGCGCAAGGAGGTGATGGGGTCGATCCGGCTGTGCCGCGACGCCGGCATCCGCGTCATCATGATCACCGGCGACAACAAGGGCACGGCCATCGCCATCTGCCGCCGCATCGGCATCTTCGGCGAGGACGAGGACGTGTCGGGCCGCGCCTACACCGGCCGCGAGTTCGACGACCTCCCCCTGGGCGAGCAGCGCGAGGCCTGCCGGAGAGCCTGCTGCTTCGCCCGCGTCGAGCCCACCCACAAGTCCAAGATCGTCGAGTTCCTGCAGTCCTTCGACGAGATCACCGCCATGGTGAGGGCACTGGGGGAACTGGGGGGATACTGGGGAGATTGGGGGTCAAACATCATGGATGGATGAGGGTTTGGGGCTCCACCACACGAGCCCACCCACAAGTCCAAGATCGTCGAGTTCCTGCAGTCCTTCGACGAGATCACCGCCATGGTGAGGGCACTGGGGAAACTGGGGGGATTGGGGGGATTTAGGGGGGTTTTGGGGGTCAAAACGTCAGGGATGGACAAGGGTTTGGGGCTCCACCACGAGATCGTCGAGTTCCTGCAGTCCTTCGACGAGATCACCGCCATGGTGAGGGCACTGGGGGAACTGGGGGGATACTGGGAAATTGGGGGTCAAAATGACAGGGATAGACGAGGGTTTGGGGCTCCACCACACGAGCCCACCCACAAGTCCAAGATCGTCGAGTTCCTGCAGTCCTTCGACGAGATCACCGCCATGGTGAGGGCACTGGGGGGACTGGGGGGATACTGGGGAGATTGGGGGGGAAACTGGGGAGATTGGGGATCAAATGTCTTGGGTTGATGAGGGTTTGGGGCTCCATTACAAGATCGTCGAGTTCCTGCAGTCCTTCGACGAGATCACCGCCATGGTGAGCGGGATCAGGGATACTGGGGGGAACTGGGGAGATTGGGGGGCTTTAGGGGGGTTTTGGGGGTCAAAACGTCAGGGATGGACAAGGGTCTGGGGCTCCACCACACGAGCCCACCCACAAGTCCAAGATCGTCGAGTTCCTGCAGTCCTTCGACGAGATCACCGCCATGGTGAGGGCACTGGGGGAACTGGGGGGATACTGGGGAGATTGGGGGTCAAACATCATGGATGGATGAGGGTCTGGGGCTCCACCACACGAGCCCACCCACAAGTCCAAGATCGTCGAGTTCCTGCAGTCCTTCGGCGAGATCACCGCCATGGTGAGGCACTGGGGAACTGGGGGATACTGGGAAATTGGGGGTCAAAATGATCAGGGATAGACGAGGGTTTGGGGCTCCACCACACGAGCCCACCCACAAGTCCAAGATCGTCGAGTTCCTGCAGTCCTTCGACGAGATCACCGCCATGGTGAGGGCACTGGGGGACTGGGGGGATACTGGGGAGATTGGAAACTGGGGAGATTGGGGATCAAATGTCTTGGGTTGATGAGGGTTTGGGGCTCCATTACAAGATCGTCGAGTTCCTGCAGTCCTTCGACGAGATCACCGCCATGGTGAGGGCAAAGGGGGAACTGGGGGGGAACTGGGGGGATACTGGGGTCAAACATCAGGGATGGACGAGGGTTTGGGGTTCCACCACAAAATGGTCGAGTTCCTGCAGTCCTTCGACGAGATCACCGCCATGGTGAGGGGGACTGGGGATACTGGGGGGATACTGGGGAGATTGGGGGTCAAAATGACAGGGATAGACGAGGGTTTGGGGCTCCACCACACGAGCCCACCCACAAGTCCAAGATCGTCGAGTTCCTGCAGTCCTTCGACGAGATCACCGCCATGGTGAGGGGGACTGGGGGAACTGGGGGGAAACTGGGGAGATTGGGGGGGTTTTGGGGGTCAGTGGGTTTGGGGCTCCACCACACGAGCCCACCCACAAGTCCAAGATCGTCGAGTTCCTGCAGTCCTTCGATGAGATCACCGCCATGGTGAGGGGACTGGGGAAAATGGGAGAATTGGGGGCTTTTGGGGAATTGGGGGGTTTTGGGGGTCAACCATCATGGATGGATGTGGGTTTGGGGCTCCACCACGAGATCGTCGAGTTCCTGCAGTCCTTCGACGAGATCACCGCCATGGTGAGCCATGGAGGGGGTATTGGGGGATTTAGGGTGGGTTTGGGGGTCAACTATCGTGAATAGATGAGGTTTTGAGGGTCCACCATTGGTCTATGAGGGTTTGAGGTCAACTATCACAGGTTGATGTGGTTTGGGGGTCCCCCAATGGTTTATGAGGGTCTGGGGTCAAACATCAGGGATGGATGAGGGTTTGGGGCTCCACCACACGAGCCCACCCACAAGTCCAAGATCGTCGAGTTCCTGCAGTCCTTCGACGAGATCACCGCCATGGTGAGGGCACTGGGGATACTGGGGGGAACTGGGGAGATTGGGGGGATTTAGGGGGGTTTTGGGGGTCAAACATCAGGGATAGACGAGGATTTGGGGCTCCACCACGAGATGGTCGAGTTCCTGCAGTCCTTCGACGAGATCACCGCCATGGTGAGGGGACTGGGGGAACTGGGGGAACTGGGGAGATTGGGGGTCAAACATCATGGATGGATGAGGGTTTGGGGCTCCACCACGAGATCATCGAGTTCCTGCAGTCCTTCGACGAGATCACCGCCTTGGTGAGGGGGACTGGGGGTACTGGGGGAACTGGGGAGATTGGGGGGGTTTTGGGGGTCAAACATCATGGATTGATGGGTTTGGGATTGATTGATTGGTGGGTTTGGGGCTCCACCACAAGATCGTCGAGTTCCTGCAGTCCTTCGATGAGATCACCGCCATGGTGAGTGGGATCAGGGATACTGGGGGGATACTGGGGAAACTGGGGGGGGAACTGGGGTCAAACATCAGGGATGGACGAGGGTTTGGGGCTCCACCACAAGATGGTCGAGTTCCTGCAGTCCTTCGACGAGATCACCGCCATGGTGAGCGGCACTCGGGATACTGGGGAGATTGGGGGGATTTAGGGGGGTTTTGGGGGAATCTTGGGGGTCAAAACGACAGGGATGGACGAGGGTTTGGGGCTCCACCACAAGATGGTCGAGTTCCTGCAGTCCTTCGACGAGATCACCGCCATGGTGAGCGGCACTGGGGGTTGGGGGAGTCAACTGCCATGGATGGACGTGGTTTTGGGGGTCAGCCATCAAGTGACGTGGGTTTGGGGTCAAACACCAAGGATTTGAGGCAGTTTTTGGGTCCCACCACCAGTTTCAGGCAGTTTTTGGGTCCCACCACCAGTTCCACGCAGTTTTTGGGTCCCACCAAGGACCCGGGTCAGTTTTTGGGTCCCACCAAGGATTCGAGGTGGTTCTGGGGTCCCAGGTGGTTCTGGGGGTCCCACCAAGGGTTTGAGGCAGTTTTTGGGTCCCACCACCAGTTTCACGCAGTTTTTGGGTCCCACCAAGGACCTGAGGCAGTTTTTGAGGTCCCACCAAGGACCTGGGTCAGTTTTTGGGTGCCACCAAGGACCTGGGTCAGTTTTTGGGTCCCACCAAGGACCCGGGTCAGTTTTTGGGTCCCACCAAGGACCTGGGTCAGTTTTTGGGTCCCACCAAGGATCTGAGGCAGTTTTTGGGTCCCCCCAAGCCCCTGGGTCAGTTCTGAATCCCCCCCGAGCCCGTGGGTGATTTTTGGGTGCCCCCCCTGAGCCCCTGGGTCAGTTGTGAGTCCCCGAGCCAGTGGAGTGATTTTTGGGTGCCCCCCCTGAGCCCCTGGGTCAGTTCTGAATCCCCCCCTGAGCCCCTGGGTCAGTTCTGAATCCCCCCCAAGCCCCCTGGGTGATTTCTGGGTGCCCCCCCAAGCCCCCTGTGTGATTTCTGGGTGCCCCCCCGAGCCCCCTGGGTGATTTCTGGGTGCCCCCTGAGCCCGTGGGTGATTTCTGGGTGCCCCCCTAAGCCCCCTGTGTGATTTTCTGGTGCCCCCCCAGACCGGGGACGGGGTGAACGACGCGCCGGCGCTGAAGAAGGCGGAGATCGGCATCGCCATGGGCTCGGGCACGGCCGTGGCCAAGACGGCCTCGGAGATGGTCCTGGCCGACGACAACTTCTCCACCATCGTGGCGGCCGTGGAGGAGGGCAGGGCCATCTACAACAACATGAAGCAGTTCATCCGCTACCTCATCTCCTCCAACGTGGGCGAGGTCGTCTGGTGAGCCCCCACACCCCCAGTCAGCACCAGTTCAGCACCAGTTCAACACCAGTTCAGACCAGTTCAGCACACCAGTTCAGCACCAGTTCACCGCACCAGTTCTCACCAGTTCTCACCAGTTCACCGGATCAGAGCAGCCGACCCCGTCTCCTTGCCCGCCCCTCCCCCTGACCTGGCCCGTCCCAGCCCGTCCCAGTTTATCCCAGTTCATCCCAGCACATCCCAGTCCATCCCAGTCCATCCCAATTTATCCCAGCCCATTCCAGTTTATCCCAGTCTATCCCAACCTATTCCAATTTATCCCAGTTCATCCCAGTCCATCCCAGCCTGTCCCAGTCCATCCCAATTTATCCCAGCCCATTCCAATTTTTCCCAGCCCATTCCAATTTATCCCAGTCCATCCCAGCACATCCCAGTTTATCCTGGTCCCTCCCAGTCCATCCCAGTCTGTCCCAGTCCATCCCAGTTTATCCCAGTCCATCCCAGCACATCCCAGTCCATCCCAGTCCATCCCAGTCTGTCCCAGTCCGTCCCAGCCTATCCCAGCCCATCCCAGTCCATCCCAGTCCATCCCAGCCCATTCCAATTTATCCCAGTCCATCCCAATCCGTCCCAGCATATCCCAGCCCATCCCAGTCCATCCCACTCTGTCCCAGCCCATTCCAATTTATCCCAGTCCCTCCCAGTCCATCCCAGTCCGTCCCAGCCCATTCCAGTCCATTCCAGTCTATCCCAATTTATCCCAGCCCATCCAAGTCTTTCCCAGCCCATCCCAGCCTGTCCCAGTCCCTCCCAGTCCATCCCAGTCCATCCCAGCCCATCCCAGCCTGTCCCAGTCCCTCCCAGTCCAGCCCAGTCCATCCCAGCCTGTCCCAGCCCATTCCAATTTATCCCAGTTCATCCCAGTCCATCCCAGCACATCCCAGCCCATCCCAGTCCTTCCCAGTCCATCCCAATTTATCCCAACCCATTCCAGTTTATCCCAGTCCATCCCAGTTCATCCCAGCCTGTCCCAGTCCATCCCAATTTATCCCAGCCCATTCCAATTTATCCCAGTCCCTCCCAGTCCCTCCCAGTCCATCCCAGCCTGTCCCAGTCCTTCCCAATCCATCCCAATTTATCCCAACCCGTCCCAGCACATCCCAACCCGTCCCAGCACATCCCAGTCCATCCCAGTCGCCTCCCAGTGCCATTTATTCGGTCTGAATTCCCTCTTGGCCCCTTCCCACTCACTCCCAGTCCATCCCAGTGCCTCCCAGTCCCATCCAATCCCCCCAAATCCCCTTCCAGTACTCCCAGTGCCTCCCAGTCCCTTCTAACCCGCTCCCAGCATGTCCCAGTGTGTCCCAGTGCCTCCCAGTAACCCCAGTGCCCCCAGCATCTTCCTGACGGCGGCGCTGGGGCTGCCCGAGGCTCCATCCCAGTGCTCCCAGTGCCTCCCAGTGCCCCCTAACTCCCTCCCAGTGCCTCCTAATCCCTCCCAGTGCCCCCTAACCCCCTCCCAGTGCCTCCCAGTAACTCCCAGTGCCCCCAGCATCTTCCTGACGGCGGCGCTGGGGCTGCCCGAGGCTCCATCCCAGTGCTCCCAGTGCCTCCCAGTGCCCCCTAACCCCCTCCCAGTGCCCCCTAACCCCTCCCAGTGCCCCTAATCCCTCCCAGTGCCCCTAACCCTCCCAGCATGTCCCAGTGCCTCCCAGTAGCCCCAGTGCCCCCAGCATCTTCCCTGGACGGCGGCGCTGGGGCTGCCCGAGGCTCCATCCCAGTGCTCCCAGTGCCTCCCAGTGCCCCCTAACCCCTCTCCCAGCATGTCCCAGTGCCTCCCAGTAACCCCAGTGCCCCAGCATCTTCCTGACGGCGGCGCTGGGGCTGCCCGAGGCTCCATCCCAGTGCTCCCAGTGCCTCCCAGTGCCCCCTAACCCCCTCCCAGCATGTCCCAGTGCCTCCCAGTGACTCCCAGTGCCCCCAGCATCTTCCTGACGGCGGCGCTGGGGCTGCCCGAGGCTCCATCCCAGTGCTCCCAGTGCCCCTAACCCCTCCCAGTGCCCCCTAACCCCCTCCCCAGTGCCCCCTAACCCCTCCCAGTGCCTCCCAGTAACCCCAGTGCCCCCAGCATCTTCCTGACGGCGGCGCTGGGGCTGCCTGAGGCTCCATCCCAGTGCTCCCAGTGCCTCCCAGTGCCCCCCTAACCCTCCCAGTGCCCCTAACCCCTCCCAGTGCCTCCCAGTAACCCCAGTGCCCCCAGCATCTTCCTGACTGCGGCGCTGGGGCTGCCCGAGGCTCCATCCCAGTGCTCCCAGTGCCTCCCAGTGCCCCTAACCCTCCCAGCATGTCCCAGTGCCTCCCAGTAACCCCAGTGCCCTCAGCATCTTTCCTCTGACGGCGGCGCTGGGGCTGCCCGAGGCTCCATCCCAGTGCTCCCAGTGCCTCCCAGTGCCCCCTAACCCTCCCAGCATGTCCCAGTGCCTCCCAGTAACCCCAGTGCCCTCAGCATCTTCCTGACGGCGGCGCTGAGGCTGCCCTGAGGCTCCATCCCAGTGCTCCCAGTGCCCCTAACCCCTCCCAGTGCCCCCTAACCCCTCCCAGTGCCTCCCAGTAACCCCAGTGCCCCCAGCATCTTCCTGACGGCGGCGCTGGGGCTGCCCGAGGCTCCATCCCAGTGCTCCCAGTGCCTCCCAGTGCCCCCTAACCCCTCCCAGTGCCCCCTAACCCCTCCCAGTGCCCCCTAACCCTCCTCCCAGTGCCTCCCAGTGCCTCCCAGTGCCCCCAGCATCTTCCTGACGGCGGCGCTGGGGCTGCCCGAGGCTCCACCCCAGTGCTCCCAGTGCCTCCCAGTGCCCCCTAACCCCCTCCCAGCATGTCCCAGCATGTCCCAGTGCCTCCCAGTGACTCCCAGTGCCCCCAGCATCTTCCTGACGGCGGCGCTGGGGCTGCCTGAGGCTCCATCCCAGTGCTCCCAGTGCTCCCAGTGCCCCCTAACCCCCTCCCAGTGCCCCCTAACCCCCTCCCAGTGCCCCTAACCCCTCCCAGTGCCCCCTAACCCCCTCCCAGTGCCTCCCAGTAACCCCAGTGCCCCCAGCATCTTCCTGACGGCGGCGCTGGGGCTGCCCGAGGCTCCATCCCAGTGCTCCCAGTGCCCCTAACCCCCTCCCAGCATGTCCCAGTGCCCCCTAACCCCCTCCCAGTGCCTCCCAGTGACTCCCAGTGCCCCCAGCATCTTCCTGACGGCGGCGCTGGGGCTGCCCGAGGCGCTGATCCCGGTCCAGCTGCTCTGGGTGAATTTGGTGACCGACGGACTCCCGGCCACGGCCCTGGGGTTCAACCCCCCCGACCTGGACATCATGGACAAGCCCCCCCGCAGCCCCAAGGAGCCCCTCATCAGCGGCTGGCTCTTCTTCAGATACCTGGCTATCGGAGGTGAGACCCCCAGGGACCCCCAGGGACCCCCTGAGACCCCCAAAAACACCCAGGGACCCCCCAAAACACCCAGGGACCCCCTGAGACCCCACACAAACAGCCCCAAGGAGCCCCTCATCAGCGGCTGGCTCTTCTTCAGATACCTGGCCATCGGAGGTGAGACCCCCAGGGACCCCCAAAAACACCCAGGGACCCCCAGAAACACCCAGGGACCCCCAAAAACACCCAAAAACACCCAGGGACCCCCTGAGACCCCCAGGGACCCCCAAAAACACCCAGGGACCCCCAGAAACACCCAGGGACCCCCACAGACCCCCATGGGTCACCCAGGGACCCCACACAAACAGCCCCCAGGAGCCCCTCATCAGTGGCTGGCTCTTCTTCAGATACCTGGCCATCGGAGGTGAGACCCCCAGGGACCCCCAAAAACACCCCCAGACCACCAGGGACCCCCAAAAACACCCAGGGACCCCCACGGGTCATCCTCAAGGTCCCAGTTGGCCCCAATTGGTCCCAGGTGATTGCTGGTGGCTCCAGGTGGTCCCAGTCGGCCCCAGTTGGCCCCAGTTGGCCCTGGTTGGCTCCAGCTGGCCCCAGTTGATCCCAGTTGGTCCCAGTTGGCCCCAGGTGGTCCCTGATGGTCCCTGGTGACCCTGATTGATCCCTGGTGGTCCCAGTTGGCCCCAATTGGCCCCAGTTGGCCCCAGTTGGCCCCAGGTGGCCCCAGTTGGCCCCAGGTGGTCCCTGGTGTCAGGTGACCCCAATTGATCCCTGGTGGTCCCAGTTGGCCCCAATTGGCCCCAGTTGACCCCAGTTGGCCCCAGGTGGCCCCGGGTGATTGTTGGTGGCTCCAGGTGGTCCCAGTCGGCCCCAGTTGGCTCCAGGTGGCCCCAGTTGGCCCCAGGTGGCCCCAGTTGGTCCCAGGTGGTCCCTGGTGTCAGGTGACCCCAATTGGTCCCAGTTGGCCCCAGTTGGCCCCTGGTGGTCCCTGATGGTCCCAAGTGACCCCAATTGGCCCCTGATGGTCCCAGTTGGCCCCAGGTGGTCCCAGATGATCCCAGTTGGTCCCAGTTGCCCCCAGTTGTCCCCAGTTGCCCCCCACCCCCTCATTGACCCTCTCTCCCCCCCAGGGTACGTGGGGGCCGCCACGGTGGGCGCGGCCGCCTGGTGGTTCCTCTTCGCTGAGGACGGGCCCAGCGTCACCTACCACCAACTGGTGAGTCTGGGGGGCTCTGGGGACCCTGTGGGACCCCCCTGAACCCCCTGAGACCCCCTGACCCCCCAGACCCCCTGACCCCCCTGCCTCCCCCAGACCCATTTCGTGCTCCTCGTGGTGGCCCCTCTGTCCCCAGGAAGGTCCCAGTGGAGCCCCCAGTGTCCCCAATTTGTCCTCCCATCCTGGGACCCCCTGGGACCCTCATGACCCCTGGGACCCCCTGACCCCCTGGGACCCCCTGACCTCCCTGCGCCCCCCCAGACCCATTTCGTTCTCCTCGTGGTGGCCCCTCCGTCCCCAGGAAGGTCCCAGTGGAGCCTCCAGGGTGTCCCCAATTTGTCCCCCCCTCCTGGGACCCCCTGGAACTCCCTGAGACCCCCTGACCCCCTGCCCCCCAGACCCACTTCATGCAGTGCTCGGAGCACAACGTGGAATTCGAGGGCCTCGACTGCGACATCTTCGAGTCCCCGGTGCCGATGACGATGGCGCTGTCGGTGCTGGTCACCATCGAGATGTGCAATGCCCTGAATAGGTGAGGCCTTCATCCCCCTCCTCATCATCATCTTCATCATCACCTTCATCTTCATCATCATCATCATCACCCACACCCACACCTTCATCACCTTCACCTTCATCACCATCCCCCGGTGCCGATGACGATGGCGCTGTCGGTGCTGGTCACCATCGAGATGTGCAATGCCCTCAACAGGTGAGGGACAGGCCTTCATCATCATCATCATCATCACCTTCATCATCATCACCATCATTATCCACACCCACACCCACATCACCCACACCTTCACCTTCATCCCCCGGTGCCGATGACGATGGCGCTGTCGGTGCTGGTCACCATCGAGATGTGCAATGCCCTCAACAGGTGAGGCCTTCATCACCCTCCTCATCATCATCTTCATCATCATCACCATCATCACCCACACCCACATCCAAATCACCCACACCTTCATCTTCATCACCATCCCCCGGTGCCGATGACGATGGCGCTGTCGGTGCTGGTCACCATCGAGATGTGCAATGCCCTCAACAGGTGAGGGACAGGCCTTCATCATCATCATCATCTTCATCTTCATCATCATCACCATCATTATCCACACCCACACCCACATCACCCACACCTTCACCTTCATCATCACCTTCATCATCATCATCATCACCACCCACACCTTGGTCACCATCGAGATGTGCAATGCCCTCAACAGGTGAGGAGAGACCTTCATCACCCTCCTCATCATCATCTTCATCATCATCACCATCATCACCCACACCCACATCCAAATCACCCACACCTTCGTCACCTTCCTCTTCATCACCTTCATCACCCACCACCATCACCACCACCCCCCACTCCCTGTCCCACCACGTCCCGATCCCCGGTGACCCCCTGATGTCCCCAATGACCCCTGATGTCCCCAATGACCCCTGGTGTTCTCAATGACCCCTGGTGTCCCCAATGACCCCCTGATGTCCCCAATGTCCCCTGGTGACCCCAATGACCCCTGGTGACCCCCCCTGTCCCCCCAGCCTGTCAGAGAACCAGTCCCTGGCGCGGATGTGCCATTTGGCTGGTGGGCTCCATCTGTGCCCCCCATGATGACCCCAATGACCCCTGGTGACCCCCAATGACCCCTGGTGACCCCTGGTGTCCCCCCAGCCTGTCAGAGAACCAGTCCCTGGCGCGGATGCCGCCCTGGGTGAACATTTGGCTGGTGGGCTCTGCCTGACCCCAGGGTGTCCCCCATGACCCCCATGACCCCAATGACCCCCCAATGACCCCTGGTGACCCCCAATGACCCCTGGTGACCCCTGGTGTCCCCCCAGCCTGTCAGAGAACCAGTCCCTGGCGCGGATGCCGCCCTGGGTGAACATTTGGCTGGTGGGCTCCATCTGCCTCTCGATGTCCCTGCACTTCGTCATCCTCTACATCGACCCCCTGCCCGTAAGGGGGGACCGGGGGGGACTCGGAGGGGACCCCACGGGGGGACATGGGGGAGGGACTCGGGGGACCTGGGGGACACGGAGGGACCCCACGGGGAGGGGACAGGAGGGGACCCAGACGGGGTGGCCTCGGGGCTGGTGGTCATGGGTGGGGCGTTAGTGGCCTTGGGGACATTGGGTTGGTGGCCCCTGCAAGGGGTTTGGTGGTCCCAGGTTGGGTTTGGTGGCCCCGAGTTGGGTTTGGTGGCCCCTGGGAGGGGTTTGGGGGTTTGGTGGCCCCAGGTTGGGTTTGGTGGCCCCAGGTTGGGTTTGGTGGCTCTGAGAGGGGTTTGGGGGTTTGGTGACCCCAGGTTGGGTTCAGTAGCCCTGGGTTGGGTTTGGTGGCCCCAGGTTGGGTTCAGTAGCCCCGGGTTGGGTTCAGTAGCCCAGGGTTGGGTTTGGTGGCCCTGGGAGGGGTTTGGTGGCCCTGGGAGGGGTTTGGGGGTTTGGTGGCCCCAGGTTGGGTTTGGTGGCCCTGGGAGGGGTTTGGTGACCCCAGATTGGGTTTGGTGGCCCCAGGGCTGGTTTTGGTGGCCCAGGCCGGCCTGGGGGTCTCACCCCTGTCCCTGTCCCCCCCCCAGATGATCTTCAAGCTGACCCCGCTGACCCTGACCCACTGGCTGATGGTGCTCAAGATCTCCTTCCCCGTCATCCTCCTGGACGAGACCCTCAAGTTCATCGCCAGGAACTACCTGGAGGGTGAGGGGGGGGTGGGGACACCCCCCGTGGCCACCAACGGACCCCCTGTGGCCACCTGGACCCCCCTGTGACCACCTGGCCCCTGTGGCCACCAATGGACCCCCTGTGGCCACCCTGGACCCCCCGTGGCCACCCCAACCCCACCATGGCCACCTGGACCTGGTGGCCTTCATGGTCACCTCAGTGGTCACCTCCTTGGTCACCTTCATGGTCATCTCCTGGTCACCTTCATGGTCACCTTCATGGTCATCTTGGGGTCACCTCCATCCACCTCCCTGTCCCCTCCCCCATCTCCATGTCCCCTCCATGTCCCCAACTGTCCCCTCCCCCATCTCATCCCCATGTCCCCAACTCTGCCCCCATGTCCCTCCCCGTCCCTCCTGTCCCCTCCACCATCTCCATGTCCCCCAACTGTCCCCAACTGTCCCCAACTGTCCCCTCCCCCATCTCATCCCCATGCCCCTTCCCTGTCCCCTCCCCCATCTCATCGCTGTCCCCAACTCCATCTCCCTGTCCCCAGCTGTCCCCAACTCCCTGTCCCCAAGTGTCCCCTCCCCCCTCTCATCTCCATCTTCTCCCCCCTCAGCGTGACCTTGCCCCGCCCCCCCGGGCCTGGCTCCGCCCACAGGTACAGGGACACGCCCCTGTGTCACTGTCACCTCTGTCATTGTCATTGTCACTGTCATTGTCACCGTCACCTCCTGTCACCCCCCCATGTCACTGTCACTGGTGTCACTGTCATTGTCACTGTCATTGTCACTGTCACAGGTACAGGGACACGCCCCCGTGTCACTGTCACCAATGTCACTGTCACTGTCACCTCCCTCCTGTCACCCCCTGTGTCACTGTCACTGTCACAGGTACAGGGACACGCCCTCCGTGTCACTGTCACCGGTGTCACTGTCACCTCCCCTGTGTCACTGTCACCTCCTGTCACCCCCTGTGTCATTGTCACCGTGTCATTGTCACTGTCACTGTCGTTGTCATTGTCACTGTCACAGGTACAGGGACACGCCCCCTGTGTCACTGTCACCGGTGTCATTGTCATTGTCACTGTCATTGTCACCTCCTGTCACCCCCTGTGTCACTGTCACCACTGTCACTGTCATTGTCACCTCCCCTGTGTCATTGTCACTGTCACAGGTACAGGGACACGCCCCCTGTGTCACTGTCACCGATGTCACTGTCACCTCCCTCCTGTCATTGTCACCTCCTGTCACCTCCCCTGTGTCATTGTCACTGTCACAGGGACAGGGACACAACCCCCGTGTCACTGTCACCGATGTCACTGCCATTGTCACCTCCCCTGTGTCATTGTCACCTCCTGTCACCCCCTATGTCACTCCCTGTGTCATTGTCACTGTCACTGTCACTGTCACCTCCCCTGTGTCACTGTCACTGTCACAGGGACAGGGACACGCCCCCTGTGTCACTGTCATCGCTGTCACTGTCACTGCTGTCACTGTCACTGTCACCTCCTGTCACCCCCTGTGTCACTGTCACTGTCACAGGTACAGGGACACACCCCCCGTGTCACTGTCACCTCCTCCATGTCATTGTCACCCCTTGTGCCACTGTCATTGACACCTCCCCCATGTCATTGTCACCCCCTGTCACCTCCCCTGTGCCATTGTCACCTCCTGTCACCTCCTGTCACCCCCCGTGTCACGACCTCTGTCCCCTCCTGTCATGGGGGGTGGGGAGGGGCAGACCTGAGGGGCACCGGGGAGGGGCCGGTGGGGGAGGGGACAAGGACGTCACCAATGGCACCTGGTGACGTCACCGGGGTCACCCTGATGACCTCACTGGTGTCACCTTGATGACGTCACGGGTGTCCCCTGATGACGTCACTGGGGTCACCCGACATCACTTGATGCCACCTGGTGATGTCACCAATGATGTCACTGATTATGTCACCAGTGACATCACTGATGACGTCACCTGATATAGCCCCGTGGCATCGATGACGTCACTGATGATGTCATCGATCCCATCATTGAGGTCGCCCGATGATGTCATTTGATGGCACCAATGACGTCACTGATATCACCCAGTGACGACATCGATGATGTCATCAATGACGTCACTGACGCCCCTCCCCCCTCCCCTCCCCCGCAGGCGACGCCGAGGACCCTGAGAGCGGAAGTGACCCCAGAGGCCCCTCCCCCCAAAAATCCCTCCCCACCCGGGGTGACCCTAAAATCCCAGCACGGAGGGGACCCCAAAAACCTCGGGGACCCCAAAATCCCTTGGGGACCCCAAAAACCTCCGGGACCCCCTGGAACTTTGGGGGCACCCCGGACCCCAAAACCTCAGGGGACCCCAAAAACCCTCGGGAGACCCAAAACCTCAGGGGACCCCAAAATCTTCAGGGGACCCCAAAAACTCTCAGGGAGACCCCAAATCCTCAGGGGCCCCCAAAATCTCCAGAAACTCCCCAGACCCTCGGGGACCCCAAAGACCTAGGAGGACCCCAAAACATCAGAGGGACCCCAAAACCCTCAGGAGGACCCCAAAAACTTAGGGGACCCCAAAACTTGGGAGGACCCCAAAAAAACATCAGGGGGACCCCAAAATTTCAGGCCACCCGGGACCCCTCAGGGGGACCCCAAAAACTCGGGGGACCCCAAAACCTCCTCCCCTCCCCCAGGCCGTGCAGGGCAGCCCCCGCAGTGGGGCCGCCCCAAAACGCCCAGGGGGTCCCCCAAACCTCCGGGGAACCCCAAATTGCCCCTCCCCCTCCATCCAGGGGTCCCCAAAATCCCCTCCCCAAATCCCTCCCCCGAGGGCGTCGCTTATTTATTGCCAATAAGGATTTCCCTCCCCACCCCAAAACTCGTGGGGTTTTTTTGGGGGTGGGGAGAGGGGTGGGGAAGGGACCTCAAGAATGGAGGGGGTTGGGGGGCAAAATCCTGATTTTGGGGGTTTTGGGTGTTAAAATCCCAATTTGGGGGGGGTTTGGGTGTTAAAATCTCGATTTTGGGAGGTTTTGGGTGTTAAAATCCCGATTTTTGGGGGGTTGGGAGGGGGACACGCCCCAATTCTGGGGGCTCTGGGTGTGAAACCCCCGATTTTGGGTGTTAAAATCCCGATTTTTTGGGGGGTAACCCTTGAATTGGGGGATTTTTGGGTGGGAACGCCGCAATTTTGGGGTTAAGGGGGGGACCCTTGAACGGAGTCAACTCTGGGACCCCAAAATTCACCCCGGGACCCCCAAAATCCACTCTGGGACCCCCAAATCTCCACCCTGGGACCCCAAAATCCGTCTCGGGACCCCCAAAACCGACCCTGGGACCCCTAAAATCCATTCAGGATCCCCAAATCCACCCAGGACCCCCAAAACCCATCTCGGGACCCCCAAAATCCACCCAGGAACCCCAACACACCCTGAAACCCCAAAATCCATCTCGGGACCCCCAAAATCCACCCAGGACCCCCAACACACCCTGAGACCCCAAAATCCATCTCAGGACCCCCAAATCTCCACCCTGGGACCCCAAAATCGACTCAGGGACCCCCCAAATTCCAACCAGGGACCCCCAAAATCGACCCAGGGACTCCCAAAACCCACCCTGGGACCCCCAAACCCACCCTGAGACCCCAAAATCGACCCTGGGGACCCCCAAAATCCACCCTGGGACTCCCAAACCCACTCTGGGACCCCCAAATTCCAACAGGGACCCCCAAATCTCCCCTCGAGCATCCCCCAACTCTCCCCCTCCCTCCTCCTTCCCCCAAATTTTGGGGGAGGGTCGTCCTTCCCTCCCCCCAAAAAGACCCCGACACTCGAGTGCAAAACCATTCTCTTTTTATACCCCCAAAACCTCGCGGGGGTAAAACCCCAAAATCGGCCCCGGGGGTCTCGGGAGTCCCCGGGAGTGTTGATTTTTGGGGGGTGGGGAGGGCAGTCACTCCCCTCCTTGTCCTCGCCGTGCGTGATGACGTAACAGATGTTCTTGTAGTCCACGTTGCCGGCCACGTCGGGGGAAGGCGGCCACATGTTCTTGATCTGGGGGTTTGGGGGTCCCCAAAATTGGGGGTCCGTCAGGGGTCGGGGACCCAAAAACAGCCCCGGGGGCGGTTTAGGGGTCCTAGGGGTTTGGGGTCCTGAGAGGTTGGGGATTTTGGGGGTTGGGACCCCATGTTCTTGATCTGGGGGAGGGGGCCCAAAATTTGGGGGTCCATCAGGGGTCGGGGACCCAAAAACAGCCCTGGGGACGGCTCGATTTTGGGGTCCGGGAGCTTTGGGGAGGTTGGGGGTTTTTGGGGTCCCAGGGGGTTTGGGACCCCATGTTCTTGATCTGGGGGTTTGGGGGACCCCAAAATTTGGGGGTCCGTCAGGGATCAGGGACCCCAAAAACGACCCTGGGGACCCGATTTTGGGGGGCTTTGGAGGGGTTTAGGGGGTCCTGGGGTTTTGGGGGTTTTGGGGTTTGGGACCCCATGTTCTTGATCTGGGGGAGAGGGTCCCAAAATTTGGGGGGTTCCGTCAGGGGTCGGGGACCCAAAAACAGCCCCAGGGGGACCCGATTTTGGGGGCTTTGGGGGTTTTGGGGGTTATTGGGGGATTGGGGGGTTTTGGGGGTTTTGGGGTCCCAGGGGGTTTGGGACCCCATGTTCTTGATCTGGGGGAGGGTCCCCAAAATTTGGGGGGTCCGTCAGGGTCGGGGACCCAAAAACAACCCCGGGGGCGGTTTGGGGAGGCTTTGGGGGGGTTTAGGGGGTTTTTGGGGTCCCAGGGGGATTTTGGGGTCCAGAGGGGAGGTTGGGGGGTCCTGAGGGGTATTTGGGGTTATTTTGGTTTATTTTGGGGTTACTTTGGGATGTTTGAGGGGGAGGGGTCTTTGGGGTATTTTGGGGGCATTTGGGGGTATTTTGGGGACCCTGAGGTTATTTTGGGGTGTTTTGGGGTTATTTTGGGGTGTTTTGGGGTTATTTGGGGGGATTTGGGGTTATTTTGGGGGTAAATGGGGGCATTTGGTGCATTTTGGGGTGATTTTGGTGCATTTTGGGGTTATTTTGGTGCATTTTGGGGTTATTTGTGGGTAGTTTGGTTTATTTTGGGTTATTTTGGGGTATTTGGGGGTATTTGGGTTCATTTTAGGGTTATTTTGGTGCATTTTGGGTCATTTTGGGGTGTTTTTGGGGGTCTCTCACCTCCTCGGGGGTGAATCGGTCGCACTGGGTGGTCAGCAGCTCCTCCAGGCTGGGGAGGGCAGGAGGGGTCACCACAAAACCCCTCCCCAAAATCCCCTTCCCCTCCCCCAAATCCCCTCCCCTCCCCAAATCCCTTCCCTCCCCCAAATCCCCTGGGACCTCCCAAAACCCCCAAAATCTCCCCAAATCCCCCAAAATCCCCCAAATCCCCCAAAATCTCCCCAAATCCCCCCCAAAATCTCCCCCAAATCCCCCAAAATCTCCCCAAAATCCCCCAAACTCGTGGTCTTCCTCACCCAGAACCCCTCCAAATTGGAACCTTCCCTCCCCCCAAATTTGGGGTCCCCTCCCCTCCCCCCAAATCTCATTCCCTCCCCACCCCCAAAATTTGGGTGGGTGTCTCCTCCCCTCCCCCCAAATTAAGGCTTCCCTCCCCCCAAAACCAAAATTCCAGCCCCTCCCCCCAAATCAAGGTCTCCCTTCCCCCTCCCCCCAGACCCCTCCCCCCACCATCTGAGACCACCCAAAATGAGGGGAGGGACGAGGGAGATTTGGGGGGTCCTTCCTCTCCTCCCCCGGGAGGGCTTGGCCCTCCCCACTCGGCCCCTTGGCCTCTCCCCCACCCCTCGTGGCCCCTCCCCTCCCCCGTGGCCCCTCCCCACTCACAAGCTCTTCTTGATGGAGTCCCTTCCCGTCGGGGTCCAGCACCTTGAAGGCCCCCATGATGACGTCCTCGGGGTCCGCCCCTGGGGGAGGGGCGAGAGGAGGGTCAGGGGTGGGGGAGGGGCAGGCAGTGGTGGGGAGGGCAGAAACTCCCCCTCCCTTTCCCCCTTAAATATCTCATTTTTGGTTGGGGGAGGGGCCCTGACCTGGGGGAGGGGGGGGCTGGGCGGTGTGGGAGGGGCAGGAGTGGGGTGGGGAGGGGCGAGGGGGTCTTTGAGGTGGGGAGGGGCAGAACACCCCACCCCACCCCCTTTAAAACTCCCATTTCCAAGGGATTCCTGACCCCACCTGGGGAGGGGCTGGACGGGGTGGGGGGGTCGGGATGGGTGGGGAGGGGTCCTTGAGGTGGGGGAGGGGCAGAAATTCCCCTTTTAAATCTCCCATTTCCAAGGCGTGGGAGAACTGGACGGGGTGGGGAGGGTCGGGGTGGGTGGGGAGGGTCGGGGGTGGTGGGGTGGGGAGGGGCCCCTGACCCTTGAGCTTCTCCCCGAACATGGTGAGGAAGACGGTGA